TCAGCAATAGAAAAATGTCAAAATTGCCCCCTGGCCCACAGCATCCTAAGACAATGCCAGGCTGAGGAAAATTCTTGGATGTATCTCAACCTTGAGTGAGTGAGGTCATCCCCACATGGTCAAGGGTAGGAATTCTCGTTCCACCTCCAGAAAGCACAAATGATTGAAACCAGAATCCTTGCCCCTTCTCCTGTGACACTGCTATTTACAAGAAGCCTTAAACAGTCAGTGCTTATGAATTCCAGAAGTGGCCAATGATCTCCAGGAGCAAGGCAGCCATGTGAACCGAATAATGAAAGACCAAGGAAAGTGCCTCATGGCCCAATGAGAGGCTACTGGATGGGCAGACAGAGACCAACGTGCCACCATTAGTTACGTCACTTCAGGAAAATCAGGAGGCCAGGACTTAAATGTTTTGTCCTACGTTCACTTCATATGTGTTCACCCTAGCAAGAGTAAGCTTGAAAAGAAAACGGGTACTTGTTTAAAATACTAGAGAAGCAGGACAATTTCTTTTTCTTTCTTTTTTAACCCACTGTTTCACTTTTGCCATTGAATTCCCTGGCCAAGTAATGGGATTCCTGTTAAGGTCCATGGATAGACATTAACCAGGAGGCATTTAAATCCATTCATTCCACAACAGCCTGCTGAAATAAACTGGTCATTTGATAGTCTTAGCCACTAACGTCTCCTAGACACCAAAGGTCGAAGAAGACAGCACCGCCCATGTACAGTCCAACTTTTTACAAAGTCTAATGGATGCCTTTAATCACCAAATAAATCAATGTTGACGGTTGTGCCCCTTGAAGTCCTAGCTTCCAGATGTAGACAACTAAATTATAAAATCCATGTTCGCCAGGCCTTCTGTTCCTTTTCAGAGAGCGATGTCTTTCCTGCACTGAGGAATATGAGAGGATGCTGGGAACACCATGTCAGTTGTTTCAGTGAACTTTTAATAGGAATAAAAATCCCAGAGAATATCAGTGCACAGCCCAGTCCCCACAGTGTTCTAATCACCCCCACCTTTCTTAAAATGTTTTGTGCCCAGAAGGGATGAGATAATGAGGAACGAGCATCAATTAAGCACGTCTTCAATCTACTTAGAAGTGGGAGCTTATCTTTCCTTGAGTTATTTCCTCATGGCCCCAGTCAGTAGACTAGAGATCTAACTACTCTTGGCTAAACCGCTTTATCTTGCTCGGGGGTAATAGAGTAGAAATCAAAATATTTCTCTAGCCAGTTGCCGCTGCCCAACACAACGTTACCTCTGATTAATGACAGGTTTTAAATCAAAACACACTCCCCAGTTAAACTATAAACATAGCTGAGTGTAAATTTTGCTTCTTTTCCCCCCTTCATGTTCCATAGGGAGATTTTCATGCCCAGGCTGACACCTCCTCTACGTTTTTCATCTCGGCCAACAAGGTTAAATAAGCATAAACGTCACTTGAATAAATCATCCACACAAAACACTCTGCTATGACCAACAGGAAGCCACTGTAAAAATGAGAGGTTTCAATCGTAAAAAAATGAGGCAATGGAACAAAAAAACCTGCCCAGTGACACTGCTAATAGTTGATCTTTAAGAAAATGCATGTTAGATCCCTCCCACCACACATAGGACCCTAGATAGCTGTCTCTTAGATAAACATGTCTCCCTTTATATCAAAAATACCATTGATCCTCATAAAATTGAGACACCCATGACCCATTAAAACTTGTACATCATAGGTAGCACACTATTAAAAGTCACATTTTTAGAGGAATAAGGAACACTAGCGTTCACGATGAAGTATAAACTTTGAATTAAAGCATAACTGAGCCCTGTTCCGAGGCTGCCTGCAACCCTTGCAGATTCCTCAGAGACTTCTTTCCTGTAACTGTGGAAGGTGTGAGCTTGAGAAATTAATCTAGTGGTTTGTTTGGAAAGATAAATGGGCAAACAGAACAGAAGACAAAACATACCAAACTATTCATTTCCTTGAAGGGTATGCACTAACTAGACGAGATGGTGGTGGCAGGCATTGGAACTTCTGAAAACCCCACAGAGCATCCACTTCTCAGATTCATAAATTTCATGGTAGCACGTTCTGGAACACAGTGTCCTTATGCACAAGTGTGTTAGATCTAATCAAACCACGTACACGGCACTCTGTTCATTACCCCGGTGCCCGCATTGGAGTGATTTCCATTTGCCACCAGCAACCAGTCAGCCCTCTGTGTCTGCATACAGTGATGGAGTTTGGGATCTACTTTGTTGGTTGTGTGTGTGTGTGTGTGTGTGTGTGTGTGTATGTTTAATCCTCTCCTGAAGATAGTGTTTTTATTGATTTTGAAAGAGAGAATAAGGGAGAGAGAGAGAGGGAGAGAGAGAAAAAAACATTGATGTGAGAAACATGGATCAGTTGCCTCCCGCACATGCCGCTGACCAGGGATCAAACCCGCAACCTAGGTATGTGTTCTGATGAGGAATAGAACACACAACCTTTTGGTGCATGGGACGATGCTCCAACCAACTGAGCCTCCCAGCCAGGCAGCTTTCTTTGGGGGGGAGGGGGAGGACAGGGGGCATATACTTTGGATGTGGAAGTTTGATTCATTTTCTTCACCAGTAGGTCCACACTGGGAATCCTTTAAATTAGCTATTAAAGTATTTATAATATGACTAGAGGCCTGGTGCACAAAACTCATGCACTGGGGGGGGGGTGGTAGGGTTCTCTCAGTCCGGCCTGAGCCCTCTCGCAGTCCAGGACCCCGAGCCCTAACTGCCCTCCTGCTCGCTGCTCCTTACCGCTCAGTTTGCTGCTCTTTAGTGCTGCCAAGGAGGCAGGAGAGGCACGCCAGCCATGAGGTGAGCCCAGTTTCTGGCTGAGTGATGCTCCCCCTGTGGGAACGCACTGACCAACAGGGGGCAGCTCCTGCATCGAGTGTCCGCCCCCTGGTTGTCAGTGCGCATCATAGCAACCGGTCGTTCTGGTTGTTCCACCTTAACGGTTGCTTAGGCTTTTATCATATAGATGCGTTTGGTTTGTTTTTAATGGTTTACTATACGTCTCAGAAGCAGAGGGTTTACTTTGCAGTAGTCTTCCCTTATCTGCAGTTTCACTTCAAGGTTTTATTTACCTGTGGCCAACCGCGGTCCAAAATATTAAATGGAAAATTCCAGAAATAAACACTGTATACGTTTTAAATTGTGTGCTGTACTGAGTAGCATGCTGAAATCTCACCCAGCCCCACTGCTGCTCACCCAGGATGGGACTTGCCCGGCGTATCCAGGCTGTTTATGCTTACCTGCCCATTAGCCACTTAGTAGCCATCTAGGTTTCCAATTAACTGTCTCAATATCACAGTGCCTGGGTTCAAGTGACCCTTATTTTACTTAATAATAGCCCCAAGGTGCAAGCGCAGCGATGCTGGCAATTCAGATATGCAAAAGAGAATTCTTAAGGACTTCCTTAAGTGAAAAGGTCCATACCAGCATAGTGCAATAAGATCTTTTGAGAGAGAGAAAGAGACCACATTCACATAATTTTTATTACAGCATATTGCTATAACTGTTCTATTTTATTATTGTTGTTGCTAATCCTGGACTGTGCCTAATTTATAAATTAAACCTTATTATGGCTGTCCTTACTAATAAAAGCCTAAGTGATCACCATGTCGTGATGCCCTCACGCCCTCACAACATGGCTGCTTGTACAGCGGGCACGCGCAGGTGGGCAAGGTTGGGCTTGAAGCTGCATTCGAGGCACGAAACCTCCCTGGGAGTCCCGCCTCCTCCCAGCTCAGCGTGGTGGGGCCTGCCTGGGGGGACCCCGGCTCTGTGGAGTGAGGCCTGCTTGGGGATCCTGCCTCCTCCCGACTCTGCGGGCTAGGCCTGCCTGAGGGTCCCCCCGCTCCGCACTGCAAGGCCTGCCTGGGGGTCCTGCATCCTCCCTACTCTGGGAGGCTAGGCCTGCCCGGGGTCCTGGGGGTCCCACCTCCCTGCTCTGTGCAGGGCGGAGGCAGGACCCCTGGCTCCGGCCTACCTCTTTGGGGCAATCCATCGAGGAGTCCCGGATGGGTGAGTGGGGCCTACCTATTTGAGGTGATTGATCACAGGGCTCCTGCACTGTGACAGGGCACAGGCCAGGCTGGGGGACACCCCCCCCCCGAGTGCACAAATTTCATGCACTGGGGCTCTAGTGTATATATAGGAAAAAATAGTATCTATGGCAACGGTTCTCAACCTGTGGGTCATGACTCCTTGGTGGGTCGAATATCCCTTTCACAGGAGTCGCCTAAGACCATCGGAAAACACATATATAATTACGTATTGTTTGTGTGATGAATCACTATGCTTTAATTATGTTCAATTTGTAACAATGAAAATACATCATGCATATCAGATATTTACATTATGATTCATAACAGTAACAAAATTACAGTTATGAAGTAGCCACGAAAATAATTTTATGGTTGGAGGTCACCACAACATGAGGAACTGTATTAAAGGGTCGCGGCATTAGGAAGGTTGAGAACCACTGATATATGGGGTTAGGTATTATCTGCAGTTTTAGACATCCACTGGGGTCTTGGAACATAGCCCCATAGATAAGGGGGGAGGGATGACTATAATGAGATATACAGAGTGACAGAGATTCCACACAGATGTGTGACCTCAAACTCCCCAGCCCGGGGCCACAGGGGAAGTTTGGACAGGTCAGGGGGTCTTCTCTGTGCCTCAGGCCCCTGCTTGCTGGGCCTTTCTTCCTCCATGGACTTCCTCATCCCTTGTCTTTGATCTTTCCACTGCCTCCTTCCCCTCAACCTTGAACTTGCCCAAACCTGCCCCATCATTTAAAACACATGAACACATTACTATTCAATAGGTCTTCCACGTTCTGCACCCACTTATAGATCTTGTCCCACCTTTATTTCTCTTTGTAGCCAAACCTCAAACAAATAGGCGTATTTATTATCAGTCACTTTCTTAACGTCCATTCAGTCATTCAACTTACTGTAGTCTGGCTTCTGTTGCCAACACTCCAGGGAAAGGGCCCTCATTCAAGTCCCAAACAGCTTCCCAGTGTCGAAATCCAGCGGCTGCCCCTGTGCTGGGGTTGATGAACTCTGGCAGCGGTTGCATTGCTGCCTGTGGCGCGACCTCTGGCCGTGCTTTTCCTGTTGGCCTCTTCCCGGTTCCCAGGCTCTCCTCTCTTCAGGGTGCACTTCCCTGCTCCCCAGATCCCCGCCCACCGCTGGGATCACTCCTCCTCCGTGACCTCCCATAACTGACTTTGCTTCATAGCAAAGGCATCCGTTCACATCACTGGAACTTTTCAGGGGTCAGCCACTCGCTCACGTGGTGAAGTCTAGACTCCTGTGCAGGGTGCACAGCCCCTTCCCTGGCCATGCCTGCCCCCCCTTT